CGGGAGACAGGGGAACTGGAGCTGGAAGAAGATCTCTATGCCAAATTGATATTCCTGTACCGATCACCAGAAACGATGATCAAGTGGACTAGAGAAAAGACCAACTGATACCTGAAGACACAGACTGCAAATGGAGCTAACATTTGAATTTTTTTTAATTAAGAAAAAGCACAACACTCTCCTAAGAGCTAAGCATTTCCAGTCCGGCAGCAACTGTTTCTCTCGGGTAGGTGGCTGAAGAAAGCTGATTTTCTTTGCCACGAAAGCCACCTTGCAGAAGAAGACGCTGTTGAAGTTCTTCGTATTCTCATGTCTGAAGTCGGGGCTCTTTGCTTAGAGTTTTCTCGGTCAACAGTGTCTTGCATTCTTATCGGATATGTGAAAGGTTCGTGTAGGGTCCCTCCCCTCAGAGAAAAGGGCAAGACGCTTGTGTCTTACTCTCTGGGGACCTCACCTTGCCTGATGCCATGGTCAAAGGGAAACACAAAGCTCTTCCCACCACGGGGTGTGGGGGAACTGCTGAGCAGAGACCCCGTGAGCCCTCAGCCCCGTGACTCCAGAAGAGCAACAGCAATAGGAGACCGCAGCACTGCCCAAGCTTCAAGGGGAAAGATGGGACCCGTGATCCAGGAGATGTCGGTGGAAGGACAGCCTCACCCTAAGCAAAAAGATAACATTAGCTATACTCCTACTGCCTTATCTCAACTGAAGACTAGGAAGAAACCTTTCTATTAAACACCAGTGACTTCTCAGGAAAAACACGCTCGGCAAAGCAACTATGCGGACTCCTCTGCTTTGAGGTCGGTCGGGTGGTAACCACCCCCAGGTAGCGGTGACCGTTCTGCTTCGGATGGCTCCTGTTGTACCAGAAACAGAAAGACAGCAGCAGTCAGCCCAGCCTGAAGGGAACACCTTGGCTTTGTAACTCCAGTGACTGAGGCCACAGGGCTCTTCCTTCTGCCTCTCCCGCCCCTTCTGCCTCTCCTGCCCCTTATGCCTCTCCCCGCCCTCTCACATGCTTCCTTCTATTTCCATGATTTAAGGCAGTGGTTTTTTCCAGTATGACATTTTCCTTGCTGTTTTTCAGGCCTATCGAAGAGTTTACATATTCCAATTCACATTTTTACATCTAAGACGGGTTTTTTAAGTTCATAATTATGAAAGAAATATGTATATTAAGCTTGGGGAAATAAAAAAATGGTCTTTTCTTAAATTATTGTCATTGGAAACACCTCTTCATGAATTAGCAATGTAGCATGAAAATTTATGATTGAAATATAGTTTTCATTCAATATTAAAATTAAAGTTTCTGAGAAGAATCATTGAATGGGCTAGAATCTGTCAAAAACCACTTCTGTGTACTTCGGGTTCAGGACTGACTGAAATAAAGCACATCTTGCAAAGTCAAGACCTGAAGAGTAATCTGTTTATGTATTCATTATTTAAGTTTGCCCTTTGCATGAGATAGGAAAAGTGGTGTTTGGGGTAGAGCATACCAAGAATTAGAATAAGGTTAGAAAGCACTTCTTGTTCATGTTAATTTCCTTTGTCACATAGGTGCTCTACATGGACAATATCAGCAGGGACAAAGTGATTCACAAAGGGGAAGCAATGGTAGTGGACATGGAACTTTTTAAATAGCAGAGGCTGGTAGTACTTGATCAAAACATCTTGCATAAATATATACATTTGCCAAAACCTCTATTGTGAAAAGATTATGCACAATTTGTGCAGATTCTCCAAGGGAATATAATTATTCTTTATCAATAAAAAATCGGGAGTAAGATATCAGGGTATGAACCTGAATGATCAGACAAGCAACGGAGAAACTACCAGTGCCCTCCTCTCTCTCCTCTTCCTCAATCCAAAAGGGCTTAGATCCTCTCTCGGTTGTGTGATAACTCTCAGCATGGACTCTACCAGGGAATTTTATTTGTTTAAGGCAGTATCTCATTATGTAGCCTTGACTGGTCTGGAACTCATGGTATAGACCAGGATGTCCCAGGAAACTTAACTTTTAACCTTCAGGGTTCATGCTTTGTTAGAAAACCAGAGTGGCGGGTTTGGAAATGTAAAAGTTGACATGTCATCACCCTTCAGGAAATGACGTTTATTAGGAAAAGGGGCCTTGACACCAGGATCAGGCCTCAAGGTAAGAGGGGATGCATTAGACAGAAAAAAGGAAATCTACCAACATAAAGGAAGTCTTAAAGGGAAGGCGTCCCTTAAAACCTGAAGAGGAACTTCATTAAAAGTGAGAAGAGGAGGGATGGGGAGAAAGACAGCCTCCTTAAAGAAGGAAATCCCCAAAGGGTAAGCTTGATTATTATAACCTCTCTTCTAAATCATGAAATATATAGGTTTTATATTACATGATTTAGTCAAACATAGCGTCCAAAACGAAGAGCATGGAACAGCCAGGTAAGGGTAGGGTCATAGGCTACGCTTTGATCCAAAGTGAGCCTCAGAGAGGAGTGGCCTGCTATCTTCAGACTGTTGGATCTGAATCTTAAGAATGACCACTGTCTTAAAGGGGCAAACATGTGTTCTAACACTATACTGTTACATTAACTCTGAAAACATGCAGAGTGTCAGTGCCCCTGAATTTGTCTAGTCACCTAAAATGGGGATAACAGAATGACTGTCCGGAAAGAGAAAACATGAAGATGTGTGGAATCACTCTGTGCTGCAGTAAACTCCCATGAGCTAGGAAAGACTAACTCTTAAGTGATCACAAATGCTTCAAGACACTCGTAGATTGTACAGTCCTTACTGTAGTAGGCTCACCCTCCTGTGTTCAGATAGTTGACCACTGGCCATTCATGATCAGATGAACAATGCAATTCAAGTGCATCTTAGTTTCTTTTCTATTGCTATGCTAAGACACCATGACCAAGGCAACTTATGAAAGGAATTCATTGAGCTTACTGTTTCAGAGGGTTAGGGTCCATGATGGTGGGCCAAAGCCTGGAGGCAAGAACAGCTGAGAGTTCTTACCCTGATCTACAAACAGGAAGCAGAAAGAGCTAACTCAAGATGGCCTGTCCCAGGGCCATACTTCCTCTGGGATTGCCATACCTCCTATGCCTCTCCATAACAGCCACCAACTAAAGACCAAGTATTCAAATGTATAAGCCTATGGGAGCATTCTTATTCAGATAAGCCCAGGTGTTATGTATGCTAGAAGGAACTAAATCATGTCTGTGACATGAAACTTCCTGCCATCTCTAAAAGGTTTCATAAAAGTCCAATCTTCCCTCTGTTCTGAGGATTAATCCAGAGGGTCCTCGGGGGATCTGCTTGGGGAGGGGCTCTCAGGGCTGCTTTCTGAAAAGACTCCTCTGGCTTTCCTACCCCTCCCTCCGCCATCCCTCTCAAATGATTTTCTTTCCCTATCTTGTTTCCTCTTAATGAAGCGCCCCCCCCTCCAGGTTTTAAATGGAAACTTCTCCTTTCCTTTAAGGTCCCATCATATTTGACTTGTCATTAATTTATATAGTAATTATGCGTTATTTCTGTCTAATGTCCCCCTCCCATTTCAAGGCCTGACCTCATTCTCAAGGGAGTTATATCGGCTTCCTTTCTGGACCCACTGTTCTTTTACTTGTTTTACATTTAGCAGAGTTCGACCCCAAAGGTAGGGACTTGGTATTCCCTGTCCAAGTGGCACAGGAGTGCAAGTGATCAAAGGTCATGTGTCCCTATGAGGCTGTGCAGGCAGCCTGCAGCATCTCCCACAGGGGGTGCCACACCCCATCTCTGACTCTGTTGCCTACCCAACAGCATTCTAAAGATCCCAAGATTGTGTGCTTATTCTCCATATTTGGCTCAATTTAGTGACTTAGCCTAAGTAGGTACAAAAATACGCATTTTATGTTGATAAAGCAGGTCAAGTTCAATGCTAATATTGCTTTCTTGTTTCGGGAATGATTCTATAGTCATTTTGATAATCTATGCTTGAGAATTTAAATTCAGGTTTTGAAAATCTGACACTCAAGTTTCCTACATGTGAGGTGGATGCATTAACATCATAGATTAGCTAGGCATTTTCTATGTTGAAACTTGAGTTTTAAGGCTGCAACTTAGGCCCACTGAGATTTGGGAATACAATATGAAAGGCATACATCTTAAGCTTTATGAGAATTTAATTAAATCTGTACATGTAACTCTCTAATTCTAAGATCCTGGAATATGGATCCTGGAATATAAGAATCCATCCATTCTTTCAATGCAAAAGATCTACTGAAGTTACTCACTCAAATACACACACACACTCACAGTTTAGAGAGGGATTGCGTATCATTTTTAAAAATCAATGTGTGCCTCATTTTTTTCCCTTTCAAGTTAGTATGTCTTTAAATCATCAAATCAAAGTCAGTTTGTTACATTTACTGGTACTAGGCACACAACAACAATGGCCACCCATTATGTTTCAGCCACTTCATGGACTGCAAATGCTTTGGTGACCAAAAGCAACATGAACACTTCACTGAATCCCCAGAAACATAAAATCAGAGTCCAAGAATCTCTCTGGATTATTTTTTTCTTACTACAATTTATCCTAACTTTAAGTATCAAATTATATTACTAATTTTCACACAGAGTTAGGGACAATAATGTATAGCAAGCAAGTGTCTAATTGTAGGTGAAACCCATTAGTAACTTATGCTCTAATTAAGTCTAATCGCAAAACAAAACCATTCACTTTTACCTCATCTGACCCCATGATGAACTCTTCTTTTGGATGGTATTCATTAGTCGTCAAGCTCCCCAGAGAGCACTCCTTATAGCAGTATGCTAGGACATAAATGACTGGCATTGTCAAAGGCGCAAATAATATACAGTAACTTCTAAAAAGTCCATGGCTCCTACACGGTAAAAAAACAAAAAACTGAAGACAAATAAAATACTGTTGCTCTTCTAAAAGATAACTAAAATAATGTAAATAATTAAGAAAATGTGTCCTTGAGGAGAATGAACAAGCATAGAAGACTAAAAAATTCATATAGTTGGGTTTTATTTTCATAATTATCTTTCTTCAGAAGCAATCATTTAATTTCTATTAACATGTTACTATTTTACTCACCAAAAAGTTGGAAAAATATGATAATGCACAGATTCCATACACAAATACCATACTCTGAATATTTACAAATTCAATATATTAAATGTATTCTGTAGACTGACTTCACTTACTATATAACTAAACGCTAGATGATTCTAGAATATTCATGCAGACTTTCACTTTCAAAGGGAGGGTGCTAGAGTTCTGGGAAACGATTCTTCTTGTAAACATTAAGTTTTCCATGTCTTACTAAGTTCTCCGGAACAAAGACTTACAACGTGGGTAGAAAAATAAAATGTGTACATGTGGAACAAACATTCCTTATGAGACACCAGACAGAATAACCAACATAAAAATGAGTTCTAAGTCCTGCACTCTGGTGTCTAATGGCAGGAGGTATAACTGTCTAAACCCCTCTGTTGTTTTAAAACTGAGCTACAATGTTGCTCCACAATGCACTCATGATTCCTTTTTTGTTTACAGTGAAAATGAGTAAAACTGACCCCATACAAGGTTTTATTGAGTAACATGGGCCATACAATAGTCTATGAGTAAAACTGACCCCATACAAGGTTTTATTGAGTAACATGGGCCATACAATAGTCTATGAGTAAAACTGACCCCATACAAGGTTTTATTGAGTAACATGGGCCATACAATAGTCTATGAGTAAAACTGACCCCATACAAGGTTTTATTGAGTAACATGGGCCATACAATAGTCTATGAGTAAAACTGACCCCATACAAGGTTTTATTGAATAACACGGGCCATACAATAGTCTAAAGTAACCTTTGAGTTCGGCCAAATCTATTTTTAAAAAGTGCTAATTTGCTCAAATAAGCATTAATTGACATTTCTGGTTGGATCTAAAAGTAAACACAACGTTGATGCCATCTCCGAAATACCAATTTCCCCTTTAAATAAAAATGCCAAATACAGCTTTATTCATAATCTCAATGCAATTAAAGACAATGTCCTGAAACCCAAAGAACTATACAGGTAACGTAGGGGAAAATATAAGACTAATATTAGTGTTGCGCATTAGATCTGTGCAGAGACTGCACAACAACATCCACCCTCTCAAGCACAGCTGGCAGAGGATGCTAGTCTGTTTAAGATCTGCCACTAGGTCTGGTAGCATAAAGAGTTTTTCCTAGATTTTGGAAATCCAGCAAAACTAAGCATATTATATGCAAATACAGTATGCTATAAGGAGACAGCAGTGGAGCATGGTGTCGGGAACTACTCCAGCCAGCATTGCTGCCTAGTGCACACTGCTGCTGTCTGCAGTCTCTTCAGTTCACATGGACTATGTGATCAGTCTAAACCATACAGGCCAAAAGAGGAATGCTTCAAATAGGAAATAACCATGGAAGGTCTTTGAGGTATGAAAAGATTGGTAACCCAGTCCTAAATGTATGTCTTTCAAAACCATTTTCCCCCTTTGGCATTTTACTTTGATGAATTCCAAATCAAAATTATTTTGGAGGTTAAGAAATGCATGCATACTAGATTGACACGAACATTATTTGTCATTCTGTACACACGTAAATGGTCTTAATTAGTCTCATTTTGGTAAAGAGTCAAGTATACTTGAGCACAGTCCTCTTGGGAAGAAACACCAACACTGTAGGGAGGGCTGAAGACATTTATAGCATCATTTTAATATGTTGCCTTCCGCATTTGTAGTCACATACTGAGCTAAATATTATAAAGCTTTTGTCCCAAGTTTGTCTCTGAAGAGACTCAATAATTTAAATGGATCTAATATGGTGATGGCTAAATTTCCTTTTCAAATGAGACAAGCCCTCCCTCAACAGGAGCATTATTATTATTATTATTATTATTACTATTATGTTTCATATCTCTAAAAAGAGAATCCCAGGTTTTCACCATGTTTTTGTCCTGCTTCTTGATGGTCCATGATGCCAGCTGCGGCTATTAGTACAGTGCAAGCAAACTGACAGGATGGGAAGATAACTGTACCATTTCCAGTCGTAGCACATCAAATCTGGGGCTGATAATCCACACTCGTGTAACCTGCCTGTGAGGGTGACAACTATGTCCCCAGCTCTGTGATCATCAATGATCTTATCACCCCGTAAGGGTGGAAGGTGTAGCCATGAACCATCACCACGGACAAAAAGGTTGACAACTCTGGAGTACCGCATGATGAGGACCTGCTGTCTGCCTCTCTTTTAGGCACTGTGGGTTCTCCTGAGGACCTTAGCCAGAACATGCATGGGCTTCATGTGACAACACAGAAAGACAGAGGGAAGAACCAGGCCAGTTTTGAAACAATCATTTTTTACAAAAAAAAGTTATGTTTAGAGGTAACGTTAAATAAAATGCAATGAAAATTATCTAACAATAAATTACAAGAACCCAAGAGAAAACAGTAAATATGCCTATTTCCTGCTTTGCCTTGTTTATGATATAATTTGCCTGTACATTTGAAAATCAATTATTAAAATATGACTGTATTTTCTGCTCATTTCCACTCTTACATTGGAAAGGACAGTGATTCACAGGTAGTGGATACAATGGCTTAGTTGGGGAGATGGCAAACTAAACTTGACATATGTTAATATTCAACATCATAATCTCCATGACACAGAGATGCCCAGAGAAGAGTCCTAATCCCGTGAACACGGCTTGCCAGGACTTCCGTCTCCTCATTTCCGCAGAAAGGGTACTAGCATAGGCCTCCTGAATATTCGTCTTCCTCCTCCTCAGCAGCTGTGCTGGCAGCTCCATCAGGCTTGGCCTGGGGCGTTGCTGGTGATTTCTTCTTGATTCCCCCTCCTGGGACCACTAAGCTTAGGCCCAGCTTAGCATACTGTCAACAGCAAGACATGTTATTAAAGCTGGAAAACTAGAATCCTGATAGTGTCTTAGCATTGGTTAACTATAAAAACGACAGGGGTAGAGGTGGATGAGGGTGGGGTGGGAGTGCAGGGATGGCTCTCAGAAGTCAGAAGGGCTTCCGCTCTTGCAGAGAACCTGAGTTCAGTTCCCAAGCCCACATGGTGACTCACAACCATCTTTAACTCCTATTCTGATTTCTGCAGGCACCAGGCACACATGTGTACAATACATGCAGGTAAACACTCATACACACAAAAATAAAAACAAATCTTTTAGAGGAAAGAAGTGCATGTTCATGAGGTCAGCAGGATGGCTCAGTGGGTGAAAGGGTTTGCCACACAATCCAATTCCCAGAACCCAAGGCAGGATAGAAGGAAAAGCAACTTCACAAAGTTGTCCTGACCTCCACATGTATGCCGTGGCATCTGTGCCTACACATACTTCATACATGCACAGGGTAACAAAAACAAGTTTTAAAAGACCAGAACCTAATCATCCATCCTCATGAACCAGCACTTTGAGAGAAATGCCCTGGATCAAGATGCAACCAACCTGCTGACAATGGTAGATGTATCAATTATGCACCTAATTTTGGAACTGCAGACAATAGGGATGTACTCATTTAATAATACTTCTAATAGCTATGAAGAAAAAAACCTACCAAGTAAATGAGAGGGTAAACTAGTTACAAATTACAAACAATACAAATTTGGAGCTGGGAACAGACCTCAATTGGTAAAGGTCATGCTTTCCAAGCATGGAGATCTGAGTTTAATCCCCCAAACCACATTTAAAACCTGGACATGGAGCTGGGGTGGTTAAGTTGGAAAAGTGCCTGCTATATAACCAAAGACCAATCCCCAGCACCTACACAGTATGCAGATGTAGTGACAAAAGCCTACAATCCCAGCACTAGTGGGGTAGAGCCAGGAGGATCCATGGCCTGCTGGCCAGCCAGCTAACCAAATCAAGGAGCTCCAGGTTCAGACTGTCTCAAAACAAGGTGGACAGCGTTAAGAAAGATACCGTATATACATTAGTGTGGCACACACACATTTTCAAAAGCTCACAAGAAGCTTGGTGGAGTGAGTGGTACACACTTGTACATCCTGCACTCAAGAGGCTGAGGCAAGAAGGCTCTAAGTTGAAGGCCAGGTAGTACTATACAGCATTGAGACCATGTCTCAAAAAGAAAAAATGAAAAGTATGTGTAAGAATTTACCTAAAATAAAAAAAATTATTTCTTGACCTCTATCATTATAAGAAAATTCAAGATCTTAAATTAATTTGACAGTGTGACAGGACTCTAAGATTAGCAATCAGATAAATATACAAAGGAGGACTGAGAAGACCCATGACTCACTCAAGTGTGAGTCTGTTTCTCACAAGAAGACCAGAGAATTCTTCACAATAGTCTAGGACAAACTGAACTTTTCCACTCTACAGATAAGGCTTGAAGATGATTAATTAATAGCCTGTCTCACACAGCTACCTCAGACTTGGGATGCTTATAGGCCTGCACATGACAGGCCTCTTTCAGGGAGAAGTCTAACAGCAACTGGATAAACCAAGAAACCGGACAGCACAGAGGAAGAGAGAAATGGGGCTAAACTTATAATGTGCACATGACAACACAGCTAGGAAGCAGATAAGTGGTCATGAATGCATTTGGTAGATACGTCACCTAAACACAGTAAAGTTCAACTGGATTGGCTGGTTCCTTTATGAGCATACTTTAACTTGAAAAATACAGGTATAGAGAAAACTCACAAATCCGCAGGAGGAAAATCACTTCAAGAGGAAGAAAGTTAACCCAAAAGGCCCACTTACGTCATTGTCCATGTACTTGAAAAGGGGTGAGTTGCAGACCTCTGACACTTGATCTTGGTCTTGCTGATCATATCCCTCCAGGAGCTGTTCAAGCGCAGCACAGTCTTCACTGCCATTAAACCCTGGTATGCTATGGGAAGCACAAACCACACTTCAGCTCTCCATCAAGACTCCCTCATCAGGGACAACTGTCCCAGCAAAGGCAGGAGAAGATCTGCAGGCATTCTGATTGTTACAGGTGTTGGGATGCTACTGACAACCATGGGTGGAGACCACGGATGCCACTAGGAACCCTACAGTGCTCAAGACACTCCCACAGTAATAAATTACCAAGACACATTCATGACCCCTCAAGAAAATGCCTCAACCTGATTTGCAACATATCACACAACCATTTTTCTTTGGCTGTTGTTGCCATTTAAAGGGGAAGATAACAAAGTAACTACAATCACTCAGAGAACAACGTAAGCCAGAAAGCAACTGGTAAAGCTGGAGCTCTTCAGTAAGGGTGTGCTTGGCACACAAGAGACACAACAAAAGAACTGCAATGGCAGTCTTATCTCTTGGAAGACGCATAAGAGTTTCATGGATTAAAACAAAGCTTGCCTAAGATGCTAATTCAGGAAACAGGAATGTCAACACCAGTCAGTGACAACAGCCAGACCTTACCTGTAGCTCTCCCTGACACACCTCTCTGCAGCCACATAATCATTTCTGTGTAGATGAACCAAGACCTGAGCAATTGTTTTCTGAAACGAGAGGGAAGGCTATGATGCAAACTGATACCTATTTTCATAACCACCTTCTTGGAGTACTTAAAATAACGAATTTCACTTTCCGAGCACTAGCTCATACATGAGAAACACACAGAGTTCTACAGTAACTCCACAGGACACCTGGAAGGAACAGCCTGGAATACCATGAGAATCAAATGGTGCGCACAGCACACAGGGATTTGGGGGCCCTGAAGGTGGAGCAGGCCAGAGCCTGTGTGCTCTAACCAGAACCTGCTGACACTGGCATTAATGGCCCGAGGACAACCTTTTCACCTCAAAGCCTAAGAATGCAGCCAGTGCAAGTTTACAGAATTTCTTTCAAATATTTATATTCAATTAATGTTGAAGAAGGAATAAAACAGTGACGACCTGTAACTTTACAATTACAACCTGAAATTTTTAGATATTAGATGAAAGACACTAGAGAACTCTAGGTAACAGAGACAATGGCACTGCTTAGAAGAAAATGAAGAACACCACGGATAACATCTTCCTGGGAGAATAGCTCTTCATAAAGCGTTTTACTTTTTAAACTTCTTTTTGGTGATGTTTGATTCTTGAGACAGGACCTATCTATGCAGTCCAGGCTGGCCTCAAACTCACAATCCTTCTGCCTCAGCAGAATTAGGATTACAGACATACACTACCATGCCCAGCCTTTACAATGCACTTAAGCCACCCTTGTATATTCTTTACTGATCTGTCTTCAGTATCGCCGAGTCTTAGCTGTGAAGATAAAACTGATTGTCAACCTAAGAGATTTCAGAATGACACAGGAGACAAGCTTTTCAGCAGTTTCCAGAGACTGCCTACGTGAGAGCGACTGTCTCGATAAGGCTGACATGAGAAGACCATCCCACTGTGGCGGTGGCCGCTTTCAAGGGTTAGGCTCCTAGACTAGAAGGGGTGGGAGGGAGAGAGAAGACAATTACAGTCCTGTGTCCTGACTGCAGATACAACATGACCAGCTGCCCCAGTACGTGTAGTCTCAAACTGTGACCCCCAAACAAATTCTGTTCCTGAAGTGGCTTTTGTCAGAGCATTTTGTTGTAGCTACAAGACAATAGCTATTAAGTTGTCTTCATTATGACATTAATCTCATCTAGTAATTCGTTTCAAAATTTTCAAATGGCTCACTCTTACAGCTTCTATAACTATTTTTCTCTATTAAAACAGTTCTTTCCCATCCATCTGTGTTCGCCTTTGTTATACAACAGCTACAGTAACTGCATGGAAGTCTTCTAACTTAAAGTGGTAATTCTAACATCTAGGACACAATACTGTTGTAAGCTGTGTTTGTTCCTGGTTTTTGTGTGACGGGTAATTCTGGCCGAGTCTCTAGATTTCTGTGAATGTTACACTGCATATGGTGCTGTAATTCTCTGGAAAAGTGTGATGTTTTAACGACACTCAACCATCCTGGGTTTGCACAGACTATGGATGACTTCTGGTGGGCGGTGGTTCTGACTTGTTTGAATCCTTTGTTGTGACCTTGGGGCCTGTCCCATCCACCAGACTTTCATGGGCAGGATGAGACTTAGTGGTTTCAGTCTTATTTCAATTCTCAGAGCCGTTATTCCCAGTTTGGGTCTGGCCCGGGCACACACAGCCAAGCGGGGCATGAACCACACACATAGGGAATGCCCTTCTCCCACGCTCTCCTCTCTGGGATATGTCCCTGCTCTCTTGGCTCCCTTGCCAGGTCCACCAGCCACAGACCAGGGCCCCCTTGGAGCCACATCAGCTGCAGCTCCACAACCAGAGCTCAACTTAACTGTGTGTGTGTGGGGGGGGGGGGGGGTTGTAGGCAGACACTCTCCCTTGTTGCAGTCTTACCTGCCTAGATCTATGATTAGGAGCATCTGAAGGCACTGGACAAGAGAAAACAAACTCCTAGGGATGAACTCTTCTGAATTGGTGACTTCTCCAAGTATCCAGTACCCTCTACAGGCCCCCCATTTTTACTGTTCAGAGTCTGAGGTAAATACCTTTTGTATTTTATTGAGTGTTGCTATTGTAAGGAAGGTAGGCTAGAATGGCTTTCTCTGTCATGGTCAGAAACATAAGACCATAAATTACTATTTTATAGAAACAGACAAATATCCATAGAATCTTTGCTTAAATATTTTATACTAATGTGTAAAATTATCTAAAGTAAAGCCGAGCAAGACATATTCAAAGAATACCTTATAACAAGTTGGGTAGTTTTCAATTTCCTTATAAATATTTTTTTCTTTCTGGATAGACAGTGCAGCCTCATCAAACCTAAAGACAAAAGAAAGAACTGTCAAATAGGGCATGTGTGAAACCCTCTGCAGAGGCCATTGGTGCACTGCCCTGCATCATAGACTTTGGAGGACAGGGTTTGTCAACTGCTCCACCGCAGTGTTTTCACTGGCTTTGCTAATCAGGCTTCTCTCTAAAATCCCCAGGGCAGTCCCTACAAGCACCTATGTAAAGCAATTTTTCTTTTACCTTTTCCTGTCTTTTTCAGATGATGGCTAGAACCCAAGTTGCTGATAATTTGGGCTTTCTTATTCTTTCAAATAGCAGAACAGCAGGCAAGGCTTTTTGCCTTCTCTCTAGACAGCTGCTGAGATTTAAAGCTAGCCTGCGCAGGGATCTTTTTCTTTTAAACCCCAATAATATTGGCTTTGAGCTTAAAACAATAACAACGAAATTGGGTTGTCTAAACAAGACTGAACAATGACAACAGTTAACAAGCTTATGTGCAAGGGGAAACCTCAAAGGGCCCCACCCCCCTAGATAAAGAGTTATAGGCAATTAAGGTCTGCTGTGAGAGGAAGAATTAGTCTTCCTCCAAGATGAGTCCCCTAAATGGTTACCCAATATCAAGAAGTCGGCTCTAAAAAAATGTAGCTTAACACTAAACTCAGAAGGTTGTATTTGTCTGTCTGTCTGTGTGTGTGTGTGTGTGTGTGTGTGTGTGTGTGTGTGTGTGTGTGTGTGTGTGTGTAAAACAATAGCAATTAAAGAATCTAAAGAGGCCATGAATTTGAGAACAGGGATGACGATATGGAAGGGGTTGGAGGAAGGAGAGGAAATGGGGAAATAATGTAATTATATTTTAATTAAATAAAAATTTCTTTAAAGTCTTAAATATTAAATGAGAACTTGGTAAATAGAATTTCAATAATGAAAATTATTTCCTACACATAAATCAAGGTAAAATAAAAACTAAGTAAAAATTTGGCACAAGTCTAGCTTTTCTGAATCGAAGTATTTATTTGTGCCTTTAGATCCTATGTTCTTGAAAAAAAAAAACGACTGCTTTCCTTCTAGCCCATTTCCATTCTCTGTGTCCCTTTCTACCAGGACCTCCAGTGGCAACACTAGGCTGGAACCCAGTAGGTTATTTTCACTGTCCTTCACGACCTCTGGTTCAGCTTGTACAGACTTACTATTAGTCCTCTGCAGAAACCTCTCCTTCCCTTCCCCTATTCCCCTGGAACTCCACCTACTGTTGCATACCTGCTGTCCCCCTAGTTCTTCCCTATAGACTTTGTTTCTAGTCCATCTCTATTCCTTTGTAACATCTGTCAACCCTCAGAAACCGTCTCTACCAAAGGACCTTACAGTCATCACATTTGGTTAGGATCCAGGGTAGATCACAGCAACCAAAGAATGGATCACTAAACCAACAAAAAAGAAACACTTCTAACATCTTAACTCCAATCCCAGCACAAAAACACAAACATGAGCAGCCAAGAAATTAGCCTCTCCTCCACGCCTCGAAGAAGCCAGCAACTATATTGCAATAGGCCCCGAGAAAAGCAATTTAGCTAAAGCACAAGGATTTCAAAATAGCAATTAAAAATATGTTCAAGGTTCTTAAGGAAGGATATGAATAAATTCTTTACTGAAGACCATAAAAACGCAAATTTTAACCATATTAGGTTAATTCTGTTTATTTCTCAAAAGAAAATTATATATGCTTATTAAAACGTTCTGTGTTTTCTAGCATAATCTTAGTTTTGTTACAAGCACAGAGCTAAAACAAATGGTGCGGGTTGCCACAATTTACAGCTAGCCACATGGCAAGCTGGTCACATGGCTGGCTGGTAGCCATTTTGCTGAAGTTGAAAAAGATCCTGCAATGGCCATCTTGGCCACGTGGAATAGCCTAATTAAGAGATTTTAAATTTCTTTTTAAAATTTTTAAATTTATAAGGTTATGGGACATTTCTGCTTATAAAATGTTTTTATTGTTAATGTTTGTACTTAAAGAGCTTCAACTTAAAATCATTGTTTTTAAAGCTAAACCTGACAGTATAAAGTTCTAGTTTTATAAAAGCTGCTCACCTATTATAAGATGTTAAGAAACACAAGTTAATAGTCATCCTTATAAATGAACAAGTTTGTTAATTTTAGTCATGCTAAGTACTAATGGTTAGTTACAGGAATAAACCTTACTTAGTCCCCTGTATGTTTTCAACAGTCAAGCTTAAACAAGTAACTAAAAACAAAGCTGCCTATTCAGAAATTTACCTAGAAAGAGGGACAGTCTAGACAGCTTCTGCCAGACATAATTCATTCACTTTGCCTTTTATTTCCTTGTCTCTAATTTCCTTTCACTGCCTCTATTATGCATGGCTTGTTTGTGGAATGGCGTACCTTTCCAGGGCCCACTAGGGCACACGTTTCCCACAAAAACCCTGCCTCTTCCACCTGCAGCAGATCTGCTTTCTTGTCACTGGCAGTTTTAAGTCTACTCTGTATCTTTAAATGTCCCGTCTGTTTGCTACAACATGAGAATCAGAGATCATACTCTGCTTCCTCCTTTTTACTTTTACTCAGTCCTGTTGACAAATTTTGTCTCTAATGCTTCAGAGACCTGTAGAATATGGCATTTAAAATGTTAATTTAAAAGCTTATACTATCAGACAAACTGCCAGATTCTGACAGTAACCCAGTCTCCAAAGAAGATTACGAGGCACCCTGGTTCCTGCACCTGGATCATGACGACGCTCACCAGTGAGCGAGATGCGCAACTGCAACACCAGCTGCTAGGACCTGGCCCAGACCGTGGACAAAGCTGCTGGACACTGGAAAATTGGTTACACCCCCTTTGCCCAGACAAAATAAGGTCGTCTTTTCCATGTCCCTCTTCCACAGAAAGAAAACTCTCACCTTACAGGCCTGGCGAAGACTGATGCCTCCAATGCTAATGGAGACTTGGGTATGGCTAACTGTATATGGACTGGTCCCTATCACCTTTTAATAGATTCAGAAACTGTATAAAATTTATCCTTCTCAGGTCTCTGAAAGTATTAATGGCTGTCAGCTTGACAGCATCAGGCAATCAAATCCACAAGACTATAGTCAGCTTGATATATATATAGCCTTAAATATGGCTCCTCAATAAGGATCTAAGGATATAAGAGCATAACACTTTTAAAGACTTAAAAGTTGAGAATTTAATAAAGTTCTGATAAGCTGATAGAGCAGTGACTGCCTGCTATTTAGTCACAAGCTCAAGGTTTTAGATTTATTTTAGTTGTAATCTAATTATGAACTTAAAGGACTTTTCATCAGGTCCAAGGCACCTCTGTCCAATCTATACCTGGCTCTCTGGACAGAAGAAAAATGTACATGCTTCTAACCCAAATCTGTAGTTTTTACTAGGATTCAAAGGTATGAGTCTATTCCTGCTGTTTTACAGATAACCAATATCTGCTTTTTCTGCAATGTGGATTTCAGTAGAGATTGATAATGCTAATATATCTAAAACTGTTATGTCCTTTTGTATAGTAAAGTTCATATAGGCTTCAGAGGATCAAAAATCATAAAGCTTGGATTACATCTCACAGGTCAAAAGGACTCCTGATCACTAAAATTATGGATTTAAAGAGTTCCAATTAAATACATAAGTTTTAACTTCTGTTCCCAGTTTAAGCATGTCTTAAACAGGTTTCCGCTTCTGACAGACGCATCTGAGCATCAGTTACTGACTACAGTCAGCTCCTAAGGACTGTGAGCCCTGGACTTGCTGTGGATGTGAACCAGTCCAGCTGATGTGGACACCCTCTGTCTCTTCAACAGAGTCTGCCAAGCAAGAGCTTCTGATAGACACCCCATTGCCTGAATTCTCTTCTTTGCATTTCAGCCTTCTTGGATCCCTAACTGTGCCCCAGAGTCAGCAGGAAGAAGCACAGGAAAGAACACATCATCCCTTTTCCCTAGTTGAGATGCTAAGTCAAAAGGAAACTCCCTTACATCAGGGACAATATGACAATGGATGCAAATGTCACTCCTCAGAAAAATCTGTCAGCTAATGGTAGGGCTTGTTACCATCTCTTTGAACCCCTAACAGGCTTGAGTCCTGTCACCAGTACTTCTAGAAGAGGGTAATGAAAGAACCAGCTCCCTGCTTTAGCAGCCATGACAGGCTAACATGTGCTTGCCTGACCTTGCCCCTCCTGTCCTAGTGACTAGACGTCAGAAACCCTCCTCGTGGCAAGGAACTAATCAGAAGTTAGCTGGCAGGCTGCACTTTACAGCTCTGGGTGTGCTCTACCGTACAAGTGCACAACAGTGACGTGCAGAGCATAGCAACTACCCTGGGAGGGCCTATAGGCCATAACAACCAGTTGACCAATCAACACAGGACAGGTCGCCCAAGCCCAGAAGTGCACCAATCCTGGGACTGTTGTGTAACCCTAGATACTCCCTTTGCTCTACCCAATATATTCCCAGTCTTGTGGTTTCTCGGGGTCCTTCTCCAAGCATCCGTAGCGATGAATGGTCGAAGGACAGAGCTAATGGGGTTAGCTCGTTAAACAACAATAAAAAACTCTTGTTTTGCATCAGGAAAAAAAAAATAGTTGAATGAAATAATGAAAACATTTCAAGATATGAAAGCAGAATTAAAGAACTAGAATCACTAAAGAAAACTCAACCTGAAATAAAACTGGAAATGATAAAATTAGGATGTCAAACAAAAGAGGTCAGTCTCACCAACAGAGTACAAGACATAGCAGAGAGAAAAGTCTTAAAGACAAGGTAGAAGCAATGGGTACCTCAATCAAAGAAATGGCAAACCAAAAAATATGCAGGCACAAAACATCCAAGAAACCGGGGACACTATGAAATGACCAAGTTTACAAATAATAGGGATAGAAGAAGAAACTTAGGTCAAAGCACAGAAAATATCTTCAACAAAATCACAGAAAAAAATTTCCCTAACCTAAATAAAAAGTTGCCTATCAAGCTACAAGGAGCATACAGAACACAAAAAGACAAGATCAGAAAAGAAATTCTCTGCGACACATAGTTAAAACACTACATGTACAGAAATAGCCAGGCATTGGTGGCACACACCTTTAATCCCAGAACTTGGGAGGCAGAGGCAGGCAGATCTTTGTGAGTCTGAGGCCAGCCTGGTCTACAGAGCCAGTTCCAGGACAACCTCCAAAGCAATACAGAGAAACCCTGTCTCAAAAGACAAAGAAGGAGATCAAGGGGTACAAACAGGGAAGGAAGAAGTCAAATATGTTTATTTGCAGGTGATCATGCACATAAAAGACCCCCAAAATCCACCAGGAAATTCCTATAGCAGATAAACAATTTCTAGCACATAAAAATCAGTAGCCTTCTTATATACAAATGACAAATATACTGAGCAAGAAGTAAGGGAAACAGTACCTTTCACAAAAAAAAAAAAAAAAAAAACACGTACACACACACATCCACATGTGTGCGTGAATACCTTTGGGTAACTCCAACCAAGCAAACGAGAGACCTTAAGCTATTGAAGACAGAAACTGAAGACACCAGAAGATGGAAGGATCTCCCATGCTCGTATATCAGTAAGATTAATATTGTGAAAGCAGCCACCCTACTAAAAGCAATCTATAGATTCAATGAAATCCTCATCAAAATCCTAACACAATTCTTCACAGAAAACGAAAGAACCATTTTTAACTTCACATGGAAACACAAAAAACACAGGATAACTAAAACAATTCCATTTAATGACAAAAATCAAGTACCTTGAGTATTTAGGATGTTTTTGTCATTTAATGGCATATCAAGATAGCTCTTCTTCCACTGAACTAAACTACTGTTAGGCAGCAAAAGCATGATACGTTTTGGAACTATGTAACAGAAACACAGGTTTTCGTTCCAGGTGCCTACTCTTTAGAAGATGACCATTTTTCCATTGTTTGTCTAGGCATAGATAAGCTAGATCCAAGGTTATGTGTAAGTCCCAAATGTAGATTCAAAACACAAATGATGTATAGGCATACAGTTTTGAAAGCCATACCTTCGTCCTCGTACCAGCAGTCTGGAGGCCTTTCCTAGAAGTTCAACTGCCTGCCGGAGGCGTTCCTCATTCTGGAGGAATCAAAGAAAAGGGAGTGTCGGCAGGGTTAATGTGGAACTCTTCTTACCCTTCCATAACAACCGCATAAAGCAATGCCATGGATGGTAGCACCAAAGCTGCTAGCCCATTCACTAACCTCTAGAAGAAAAAAGGAACAGAGTTGGGCTGTGGACACAGAAAAACCTTAAAAAGAATCCACTGCATTTTTCTTCTCCTATATATTATGAATGAAAACATTATGAGTAATTAAAGAAACAAAATTCTAACTTACTTCAAACACATTAGCTGTCTGCTGATACAACTGTACAGCCTTTTCTGGATCTACATTTTCTATGAGCCTGAATTAGACAGAGAAGACAACTTGTGAGAATTAAGACACTTGCTTCTTAAAGAACTTTTCAAGACAAAAGAGTCTTCTGCAAAGCCAGGACACCCCACAACAGCTGTGTGCACTTACTTTCCAGCTCGCTCCAAGGCCATAGCTGCTGTATCAGGGGTGCCGTTCTCCAGGTACATCATACTGGCTTTCTCGATCAGCTGGACGGCCTCAGGCAGTTTCTGCATCTCCTTCAGGAAAAGCATGCAGCACGGGGCAGAAAATGTGTCAACTTAAGAAGTGGAGTTTTAACAATTCAATTATTTCATCCATACGTTAACGTTTTCTCACACACACACACACACACACACACACACACACACACACACACACACACACACACGAGTACAGAGTAGATACCATCTGAGATCTAGGTCTAAAAATCAACAACAAAAGGCCCAGCATATGATAGGTGCTTGTAATCTCAGCTCTGACGAGGTAGCTACAAGTGTCAGCCAGTTTAGCCTAATTAGTGAGCACCAAGCCAGAAACCTTGTCTCAATAAACAAGGTGGGTAGCTAGACATCCAAGGTTGAGCTCTGACTTGTGCGCGTGGGTCCAATTAGTACTGCCCTGGCAAGACATCTTGACATAACCTTTGCTTCCACTCCCACAACCCTCACTGCCTCTTGCTTTCCAGAGAGGAAACTTGTCAACGTCAACATGACTCTACCTTGGGAGTTTGCTAATTCACTTTACCTCCATCAACGTCAACATGACTCTACCTTAGGAGTTTGCTAATTCACTGTACCTCCAAAGCCATTTTGATACAGTATTACTAACCTTCAACATCATGCCAGCTTGCTCATAAGCTCTGTAAAGAGAATACAGTGTCTCTGATGAGACCTTCATCAAGTAAGGAGAAACCTGTACAGATGCTGGTAAGGAAGTGACAGCAGAGGAGTTGAAGCAGTGTGCCACCCCAGACCCCTACTGCCACACTGGAGTTCCTTCCTTGCCTCTTCTCTTATTCATTTACTTTTTAGAGAAAGGAAAACCAAACACTGATTTTATTCAGCAAAATTAAGTCAGCCTCAGAAAGGCTAAAAGACAAACCCAATTCTAAGTTTTCAAACAAATACATATGGTCCACAAAAGGAGAAAGCTCACATCTCTTCCACAGGCACTTAGCAACCAATAACTAAAGGAAGAAAAATGACTTCCAAGTCACTTGTGTTTTCACAAGCAAAATCATTACGCAGAATTTAATTAAAAAATCTTTATTATAATTAGGAGACACTTGACCTTTAAACTTCAGCTGATGATAACTAAAGCATATGAAAATAATTATTTTAATTAAATTAATGTATTTAAAAACACAGAGCTTGAAGAAAAGTTCTTAGCCTAGAGCAAAACACCAACTTTTAAAACATCTGCAAACACATAAAGGGTGAGAAATTACTTACTTGGCAGCATGAAAAAGGCTGAATGGATATAACAATGTCAAAATTAAGGAAAGAAGAAGGAATCAATGGTTTCCTGAGATCTACTTTCCAAAGGCAGTTAACTAAGTCATTGATCCATCTGGTTTCAAAAGACAGATCCTAGGGGTAGAGTAGCGACACCCCAGCACTACTGACGGCTCTTACAACCCAAACCCTGAAAAACACTGCAAATAACTTCAGACCACTACACATCAACAGGATGAGGTGCGAGGATACTACATTTTGCATGTGAGAGAAAATGGACATTTATAAATGACAGCCTTTAAGATACACCAGGAAAATTTCGTTCTAGAATGCTTATAAATCTTCATCTCAAGGCAAATCCCTGTCAACAAAGCGGGAGCAGGAGGAAACAACCGGCAAGTGGGGTTGCCTGCACCAGCACGCGCCCAGGGACACTCACCGAATATTCCTACGGGCTTTAAAGCACACACACTACTCATCCTTTTCTAACTGCAAAGCATTTTACTTCAAACAGTAAATTTTTAACAGGAAAAGGATGTCAAAATCTAGTTGTTCCATTTCTGCTTAAAGCTAAAAAAGATACGCCCTGTTATTTTCATGGGCAACAGCTTCCCGTAGGCAGGCATCTTTTGCTTGCTCAAATTGTTTGGCATTTTTAAAAGCAACAGCTGAAACAGGAAAAGAAAAAAAAAGTGAGACCTTCTATTTCCATCATTAACAGCCCTCAAATGAATCATTACCCAAATCTGCATCATATGTGAAATATTATAAAATACACTGATCTCAAGAAGGGAGTCTCATAGAAGTGTGAAATATTATTTTTATCTAAAGCAAGTTATAATTTTTCTGAGTACACTCTTAGAAGCATGTTAAAGTTTTAATTGTTGACTTTTAGCCACACATTGGTGCTGCTTCCAGGGAATACCAAGTGCTCCTTCTAGAACCCACTCCACCTGAGAGCACACTTCACTCCCCAGCTTCTTCCCTTCCAGCTACATTACACAAACCGAAGCACAATCAGCACATCAATTTTGTAATAAATCCTAGCTTTGGGCATAGTCTTTAAGTGCCAATGAGTCCTTTGCTTTTCTATTTAGCTATCTATACACTGCAGGCTGCTTTACAAGGGTAGCTCACTAGGGCGAAACAATCAGGATGCCCCTGAAAGACAGTATTACAGTCTTTGGAAAATCACCAAGGGTGGATTTTGAAAAGTAGAAAGCATACTGACTCAAGTTGTGTCTTTTGTTTGTTCTGCCATTCCAAGACAAGGTCTCCATACATGTACTACCCACTGGCTGGAACTCAGCTACACAGCCTAGACTGACCTCCAACTTGAGCGGATCCTCCTGCCTCAGCCTCCCTGCTAGGTAAGTGTCCTCAACTATTATTTCTTAAAAGCACACTCTCAGGGAACTCTTAAGCCAAGTGTTAAAAACAAACAAGATACTGCAACTACTCCTATCCCTGCTTGTCCCCACTGTGTTTTATAAAGATTCCCCCACATGGTTCTATTCTGCATACACTCTTATGGAAAGTAAACCAAGGGCACTTTAGTAGGAAACCTGACTCAGAATATTTACTGCTGGAAGACATAAAGCATGCTGTTAAGTTTCCTTCATAGAGGGAACTTGAAATATATATCTCTGGTTTAAAAATAAAAAAAGACTATAAAGTGTCCCACATAATCCATATAAAGCTCGATTTTAAACAAATTTATCTTTAAACACAAAATACAATAATTTGCACAATGCAAGAAATAAAGTTTATACAATATTTAAATACAGGACTAAAGACTTCTGTTTTCCCTTCCAAAAGAAAATAAGCCCTCTGAACATAATAACGGTAGTTACCTGTTTTAGAGTTTTTGGGGTTTTTTTATATAAACTGAAGCTAAACTAAAATTTGGTAAAAAGTAAATCTGTGGTAGATAAATTTTTATTACACATGCGCAGGAGGGCAGAGACAACTTACAGGAGATCCCTCCATCTGCCACGTAGATCCACACTCAGGTGTTCAGGCTTGGCAGCAAGCACCTTGACTTTGAGCCATCTCAGCAGCCTCAAATTAAGTTTTATTACTTTATACCAAAATAATAGCGGATGTTCAGAGCTATTATATCATTCCTTAATACTACTGAATTCCCTTTGCTGCACATTTTAGATATTTTATACTTACAGACAGGTTCATCTACTGAAATGTGCACACAGCTTAACTGATTCTCAAAATGAAGCTCACAAACGTTAATGTGGGAAAACACGAGATTTGCAGATCTCCTCCAATGAGACTCATTTAAAAACTTAAAGAAAGCCCTTTATTCAACAGTAGAAGTCTAAGTCAGGACTAAGCAACACTTATGGATACCCACGAATGAAGCTGGCACCCACAGAAGCAACAGAAGCAATGCTAACAGCTGGACCGCCGACACTACTCCATGTCTGCTGTCAAGACCATGGACCAGGTTCTGACTCAGCGCTCACCACATCTGAAAACAGTAAGTCCAGGAATATGCCAAAGCCTGTGCAGTTCTTCTGCTGTGCTTTTCTGTTTAACTAGTAAAGTCTGACACAAAGTATTGAAATTATTATGCTAAGACAAAGTTATCAGACCATGTTAACACCATACACAACAGCAAGGGGACTCCAGTCACAAATACCTGCTTTTCCATATTCAGAGGCAGCACTGTCATAGTCTGGCTTCCATTTTAAAAATCCAGTTTTCAGGCTAGAATGAGAGACATTTCTTATTAAAAAGGTACCATCAAACACAAGCCCCCCCCCCGCCTTTCCAACTCTATCTGGACTTATTCATAATAAACGCACCCTCATCTCTTCCTCCCTCCTTGTCCCACCACAAATGGAGTTTTCCTTCTTCTGAAATACCTATACACCATCCGAACATAACAAACATGACCCGCAGACTAGCAGCAGCAACACTGTCCACTCCAGATCAAAACAGCCAGAAACTGGGTGGGTGCCACAAAGTGTGCTTTACCAAGCTTGAGAACCTGGAAGTAAGTATACTGTCCTTTGCAGGTGAGAGGCTACCAGGGAGAGTGCAACTAAAGAGCCAAGAGTATCTGTTACACCAAGATCGCAGCATCCTTTGAGGAGTCTGCAGAGACTAAGGGAACAACATTCAGAAGAAAAACAAGGGGAGTAAACCAAAGGCTGAGTGAGAGTTAGCCACCACTGAGCAGGAGGGCGAAAGAGGAAAGTGTTAGGACAACAGAGAGAAACAGTTTTCTAGGATTGACTCTAGAAGCCAAGGCAAAGGGCACCTAGCGTAAGTGTTTATCTTTCTTGCCTTCTTTGCAGTATTTTGTTTTTATTTAAAAAAAAATTAAAACTCACAGTTCAAGCTAATCAGTAGGTCTCAAAGTTGGGTGTGTGTAAGGATTGCTGAACACCATCTTGCATTTTAAATTTCGACTCATTTAGTGAAACTCTTCACATATCTAAAACACTACTAGCTTCATATGAATCCAGGGGCTACACCCTTCACAGGTCTACAGAAGTACCTGTGACCCATGTACCAACTACCCAGAGTCTACATCTGAAGTTACTTCTCTCTGTAAATGTATTTAGTATGCTTAACATTTAGCATACACATATATACTGCAACAACATTTAAATGTGTAAACAATGTTCAAGTTTGTGAAGAATTTCACCTTCTAGAAAAATGAAATCCTTCAATTATATGTAATGTCATCTATATAACTGATGAAATAAGCAGCAACACAAAATTCCAACTCTTTGCCCCTTCACAAAAGCATCCACTACACCCTATATTGATGTGATTTGGGAAACTCATCGAAAACAAGACATGATGATTAAATGTGCTGGAGAGATTTTAAGAACTGCAGATCAGCCGGTGGTGGCTCACACCTTTAATCCCAGCACTCGGGAGGCAGAGGCAGGCGGATCTCTGTGAGTTCGAGGCTGGGCTGGACCGACAGCCTCCAAAACAATACAGAGAAACCCTGTCTCGTAAAAAAAAAAAAAAAAAAAAAAAAAAGAACTGCAGATCACCTCCAGGCAGCAGAGTATCATTAGTTAGGAATGAAGGTCCTGTTAATGATGGTTTGATGGCTAACCTGTTAGGAACCTTGACTGTTTCTGCCCTAAGAGTCAGCAAGAAAACATTCCTAAGACTAAGTGATAATGAGAGCTATTGCCACCAGAAAAGTAAGAGTTGAATCTGACTGCCTCTCCTACACTCCTGGCCCATTTTTCCTGCCATCCCCTGGCTCTTCTACCTAGAGCAACTTCAAACACCCTTCAGACCTGAATCCAATACATCCCCACCGCAGCCACAAGCATGTCCACTCATTTCTGGCCCCATCCTGACTGAAGGCCTCTCCCACCACTCTTCCCCCAGCAGAGACTCCTAGGAGCTAAAGTCTCAGCTCCATACACAGCTGCCATGAGGACTGGTTAAAGCCATTGGATGCTATCCTGCCTCCTATTGATCCTTACTTAACTCTGGTGGTTTATATCTTCCCCCTGAAGTTCACATAATGCAACTTTCTTATGGCTGAGAGCACATGCTCTGTTCGTTTCTGTTTGCTCTCACCAGCAAAACGGATTCTTGAAATCACCCTCTGCACCTTCCTAGCCACTGTCTGGAGGCAGTGCAGTATACAAGAAAGAGCTCCTGGATTTTCACTTCGTAAAACTGGCCCTCTTCTGTTCGGCTGAGCAGCCTTGTTCAGGTCTGCAGGAAGTTTCTGGCAGCCTCCGTTCCTCTTTTGTACAGCGAGGACTTCCATTTCGAAAGTTGTTAAGATCTTAGCTTATGATGCACCTAACAGTGTACTAAGAAATTTCATACAGTCGACAATCGTTAATGTATGTATGCTGCAATTCACAGAAGAGTGTGGGGGGGGTGGGGGTGATGGGGTGTCTTGATGGTGTCAAAGGATTAAGGAGAATTCGCAGTTTCCAGTAGAGCTGGATGCCTACTGAGTCCGGAACCAGAAGGTGGCACACCCACAGGACTAAGGACCTTGTCCCCCAGGGATTAGGACGTCTCAGGGAGAATTAGTCTACACCCCCCGCATGGCACCAGGGTCTCTTTCCCAGCAGTGGCTCTCCACCGGGCGATTTCACCCCTGGGGTCACTTCTGGCTGTCGTGAAGAGGAAACAAGGTGCCCAACCCTGAGCCCGCAACTACTCTGAGCCGGCGCCGGGCAGACGAGGCCGTGATGCGGACACCTGCTGCAGATGCCGAGGCCGGGCCCGCACGGCCGACTGCAGGGGACTGACCCGCAGGGGAAGGCACCGCCCCGGGCGCGGGCAGCATCACGGCCCTCCCTCCCGGTCCGCCCGCGCGCGCACGGCCAGGGACCGCGGGTCGCTAGCCCAGCGACGACTCCACGTACTACTTCTCTGCCTTCGCCAGATGCTCCAGCCCCTCGTTTATCTTCTGGGCTGCCATCGCTCGGCCGCTTGCTGACGCGAAGAGTGAAGCAGCACAGAACGCCGCAAACCCCGGGAGCGTCGGCGTGGGAACGCCGCGGAGGAAGCCGGGAAGGGCGTCTACGGGTAGCGAAGAGCTCAAATTTCCTGGGGGCGGAGCTGGTCGGGAACTGGGGCAGGGCGGAGAAGACAACGCGCAAGCGCAGTGTTACGAAAACTGGCCTGATGGGGCTTTACCTCGGGTGTAGTCATTTGAAAGAGTGCTTTCTTTACAGTGTTTGTTACTGTACTCGGCAGATTCTTTAAGGAGCCGAGTACTGGTCTCGACCGGTTCTGAACAACAAAAAACACTCCCCCCCTCCCGGCTTCTTCACGCTGTGAGACTGTTGTAAATCCCCTTTGCCTATTCGACCTTGCAATTTAGTACAGTTTCTCTGTACTATATCTAGGAGAGTATTTGCTCGTCATTCATCTTTTATGATTTTCTTTTTTTCTAAGACAGTATCTCACTGTGTTTTCATCTACATCCACTTCTTAGTGGATTACGTATGCTGCCCATTACAGATTTTGAACACTAGTTACATATCCACCAGTAATGAAAACAGATTGTGACACTTGGTTACTGTCAAATAATACTTCTAACATTTCAAACTGATAGGGAGGAGACCTTGCAAAGACCTGGGAGAGGAGACAGACTGATTCAGCGGCTCTGCTGCTAAATCAGTGGTGGTTTGGGGATCGCATTGTTGGTTCCTATGCCACTAAGACAGTGTGAATGAATGTCTTCTGAAGGGCTGCACATTGAAGGTTTGGTCCCCAGCTCTAGTCCTAGTAGAACTAATGAAACCTTTAGAAGGTGAGGCATGATGGAAGTAAAAATAAGCCATTTCAGGCCTTTTATATCCTTGAAGGGTATACAAGGACCCCAACCATCTTCCATCGTCTTCTCTCTGGCCACCATGCAGTGGAGCTGCTTTGCTCCAGCCATGTTGTTCTGTTTTGCTTCACAAGCTAAAAAGAAAGGGGCAAAGCCATCATGGACAGAAACCATGAAGAAAACGTAATTCCTCCATGTAAATGAATGATCTGGGGTGTTTGTAACAATAACAGAAAGCTAATGAGGACAACCATTTCCAGGATAGTGTCCATGACCCTAATAACCAATAATTGTGTTCTCTGTGGCGTCGATTCCAGCAGCCCACTTTCCTGCCTCCTGCCATCCCCCTAGCGTTGCTATCTCCTGGTCTTCACCAGATTCTTCCTATAGCCCTATCTGCCCTCTCTCACACTGTCCATCTTTGCAAAGCCCAAATAGCGTGCTCCTTCCTGTAGTCACACCTTCACATGTGTTCTCAAACTCTTCCCTTCATCTTCCTTCCTACCCTGAGAAAACAAATTTTCCTACCTCCTACAGGTCTGCTCTTGAGCAAGTGCGAGTGTCTGAAGAAACAAACCAGCATGACAACATTACTCTAACAATTGCAAACCTGAGCAGAACTTGAGTGCCACAGAGCAAAGATGCTACTTTCCTCCCAGTGAAATGACTATCCCCCACTCATTTGGGAAAATTCACACTTTTCTCCTCAAACTCCAATACACTCCCGGTGCCTGACTATCAACTCCTACTTCCTGTTTAAAAAAATAATAATAATCAGGAGAGCTTCTCCAAATAGCCTCACCATTCCATCTACCAGTCAACCATCATTGGTTGAAAAACTTCTCTAGCTACAGAGCTAAGCTGGCCTAGAGCCCTGTGATTTGGTGAGAATGGTCCCTGTTGGTTCATATGCTTGAATACTTAGAACTCAGTGAAATGTTTTGGGAAGGATCAGGAGGGGTGTCCTTGTTGAAGGAGTATGGCCTTGTTGGAGGAGGTGTGCCACTGGGGGTGGGCATGCCCCCCATCATGATAATCGTGGACTAACCCTCTGAAACTTTAAGCAAACCCCCAATTAAACGCTTCCTTCTACACGTTTCCTTGATCATTGTGTCTCTACAGCAATAGTAACTAATACAAGCCTCCTGTCTGCCTCTTCCTACTCTCTTAGTCTGTGGTACCCCCTACATATGAAACACCTCTGCATTTGATTATGTAGCCTTACTACCGCTTGATTATCTAACCTTGTGTATGGTTTGGATATACACACACACACACCTTCCACAAAACCTCATGTATTGAGAGTTAGTCCATTGTGGAAGGGTTTGGAAACTTTAAGAGACAGGGTCCAGCTAGAGAAAGTGAGTCACTACCCCTCACTACCTCCCCCCCACACCTGCTTCCTTGCCACTAAGACATTAACAGTCTCCTACTCCACAAGTTCCTGTCACCATAATGTTATCCCTCACCTTGGTCCCAGAATAAACATCTCCAAAATACCTCCTTGAAATTGTTTACATCAGATATTCTGTCACCATGACAGTTATACTCTTTCTTATGTGAAGGTGGCATCTCCGGAAGGCAAAAGTCTTAACTAAAGGTTCCTTAATGCCCAGGGACCAAGTGACTATTGCTTCTGCCACATTTTATCAACCTCAGAGCCAGAGGTAGAAGACAGAAACGTGGCCTTTTGTTCCTGACTTCTGACTCACCACAGCCCTGGGATGAGAAATTCCAAGCAGACTGTCACTGGCAGTTTAGATCAGCAGTGTCACCAAGGCCTGTGTGCTGATGGCTTGATGATCAGAGCAGTGATGTCAAGAGGAGGTAGAGCCTTTAGATGGTGGGGCCTCGTGAGGGCCTGGCAACCACGGAAGGGCACTCTCAACAAAAGTGGTGGGAACCCAAATCCTCCTTCGTTTTCATTATTCCAGGCTATGAACTGAATGGACTTCCCTGACGTGTACTCCTGCCACAGCTTGCTGCCAGAGGCCCACAGGCCAAGGAGCTACTTTGTCAGATTGCGGAGTGTGTGTGTGTGTGTGTGTGTGTGTTCTCTGTCTCCTCTCTTTCCCCTCCCCCACTCCCTTCCCTTCTCCAGTAAAACTTCCTTCCCATGTAAGTTCTGCCTGATGGAGCATTTGCTCCGAGCCATTGAGACTTGACCTCAAGTGTTATTCTTTTTTTTTTTTTTGGTTTTGCGAGACAGGGTTTCTCTGTATTGTTTTGGAGGCTGTCGGTCCAGCCCAGCCTGGAACTCACAGAGATCCTCCTGCCTCTGCCTCCTGAGTGCTGGGATTAAAGGCGTGTGCCACCACCACCCGGCTCAAGAATTATTCTTAAGAGATTGCTCTAAGAGAATTAATCTGCTGTTCGGAAAATTCTTTCAAGGAAAAGAGCAGGGAAGAGACAGATGGCAGTGACAGGCCGTATGGCGACTGGACGGCGGGAGAAGTGGTTGACCTTGGCATAAACAGAGTGGGGGAGAATAAGGTCAAAGGACCGCGCAAAGCTCCTGGGCATTGAAGGCTGGAATGGCCATCAGCCCCTGTGAATAGGACCAAAGGGGCTCCGGCAGAGCAGTGCAGTCCAGAGCCGAGTGGTGGGGTGAGCATCGGCCCCTGTGAATAGCACCAAAGGGGGCTCGGGCAGAGGAGGGGTGTAGTCCAGAGCTGGAGATTGAGGAAATTCAGTCGGTAGTTACTTAGTTGCATAGGCTTGGGCAGAATATCATGCTGTTGTGAGAGTTTCAGGGTCATGGGGGGCTGCCAAAGAAGGCTGGCAATGCCCTGCAGGTAGCTGGTGACAGCATGATGTGTGAATCTGTGAAGATGAAACTGATGTCTTAGATGTCCCAGGATGTGGGAGGATGAAGGCCCTGGGATGCCTGCTAGGAAAATCTCCAAGCAGTGAGAAAATCCAAGGCCTTCATGGGGGCTGGACTGGGCAAGGGCACTGCTTAAACCCATTGTAAATCCAATGAGATGTGTGCAACTCTGTAGGTTCCTGATACTGGACACGAAGCTACAGAATCCCTGTCTTCCCTCTTGGCGTTCATACTGCTTTGCCAGTTCCTTCCCCATTGCTTACCCCTGCCGCTGTAACCTGCCCTCTGTGTGTTGGATGAGTTCCCTTGCGTGCTGCACGTTTTGTTCTAAATCTGTATGGACTCATCACAGCTATGAGTTGCAAGAGACTCTGAACTTGGACTTTCAAGCAATATTGAAACTGTTGAGACTCGGAGGGCTTCTTAGACACAAACTAAATACATTTTGCATTGTGAAATGTCCATAGGCTTTGAGGGGCTGGGACATGATGTTATGGTTTAATCACGGAATGTCCCTCTCTGAGAAGATGGTGCCATGTTGGAGGTCCTGGGAGGAAGCAGGGTCTAGCTGGAGGAAGCGGGGGTCTGGCTGGAGGAAGCAGGTGGCTAGAGGCATACTGTGGAAGGTTCTGCCTGGGTCCCTTTCCTTCTCCTTTGCCTCCTGTCCACCAGGGCAGTGAGAAACAGGGTACATGATACAGGCTGTGTGCCAGGAGGAAGGCTGTGTGTGGGAACACCAGACCTTGTTCAGAGACCCAATTCCCCATCAGCCTGGGAGTAGGCAGCTGTAAGACAATGTTTACTAAAAACATGTTTACTAAAAACAATACAATGCCCAAGGCAATAAGTTCATGAAAAGGGCATGCCCAACCGGGAACCACCCTGTCCTCTACCTTTTCCAAAGACTAACCGCATCCTCAGACCCACCCATCCGCACCTCTGGTGTCAGGGTATATAATAACCAGCCAGAGTAGGAATAAAAGAGAGCCTTCTTGAGGAGCCTTCAGGTCTGTGTTATCAATCCCCGACACCCTCGCCACGTTCTCGGACACAGGCTGCGCAGCGGGCATGGCACTGTGAACTACACACTCCTGTTTGTCCTTTCTGCTCTGTAAAGAGGAACAGATGTGTGTGAGCAAGTGGAGGTACTCCCGACGCAGCCAGGTCCACACCACCCATGGCGAGTAGAAGCAGCGCTCTGAGCCTGGCTGCCCCTGAAGACTTGTGATAGAGGCGGCCAGCTAAAACCCATGAGGCCGACTAGGGAGAGGGGAGAGGCGCGGGGGACGCCGACGCTGGATGGCAGCATTTGCCAAGTGCACCAGCAGCACTGCCGTTACCTCTTTTGGCACAGAGACCAAGGCTAAGAAGCTGTGCAATTTGTTCGAGGCCGCACAACTCATCCGCGAGCTCACAA